ATTTGAGTTGGACTGAATATTTTGTGTGTCAACAAACACATTTGAAATCATTTTCCTTGCAAAATATTTTTTAGGCAAATCTTTTCCCTGTAAAACATTTTCTTTCCACCCATTTTTCACCCTTACAATCAAATGCACCCTAAGTAAATTTAAGTTTACTGTAGGTTTAAGATTTTCACACTAGACAATCTTATTATTTATTTACTTAGTTTATAAAAAATTGCACAACACGGTAATACACCTACTAAAATTATTTCATACCATTTCCGAAAAATAGTCTTTTACGCATTTTATTAGTCAAATGAAATAAAAATATAATCCATCAGTCTTATGTCGAGAACAAACTCATTTGATATATCATGTAATTAAAATCATAGTAATGACATTTAAGGACTAATGAGATAACTATTACTTTGAAAGTTATTTTTTTAAGGCAATTAAACATATTATTCTAAGAATTGATATTTTGCTGTTTATAGGAAATATTGTCTAAAATTTGAAAATTATGTTCCTAAGACATGTGTAATCAAATCTTAAATAAGTAAATGCACATTACCTTATTTTACAATATAGAAAATTTGAATTTAAGAAAATACATTTTTTTAAACAGTATAATACTTTTTTTTAATTCAGTTTAATATAGCACATTTAAAATTCATACAAGTACATAATTTTATTCAATGGAAGCTCATTGCATATTTCAAATTATAGGACAAATAAATCTTTGGTTGAAATAAAATCATATCTATGATATTTAAGTCCTAGTTAAGAAAATCATAAATTGTAAAGCTCCAAGGTGCTGCTGTGATGGGGTCGAGGAGCCACTGAATGGATTTTTCGGGATTTTGCGGATTTTATGAATTCTTCTACAACTTGAACTCCAAAAAGAGGTTCTTATATATATATATATATATATTCCATATTGTTGTATCTCCATATACACATTCAACATCTTAAGAGTTAGAGAGCTTAGATTTCAATTGAGAGTATTGAGATCTTGATAATGTAAACACATTTATTATTGATTAAAGTGAAATTCTCCTTTTCTTCTTGTGATTTTTCCCATCTTGTGTTTTCACATAAATCTTGATGTTCTTATTTATTTCATTATTGTCATTGTCTTTCAATTAATTCATAACAAGTGGTATCACAACAAGGTTGACTTTTCGCATGGCATTGATGAAATATGATATTCCATTGTTGGATCAAAACATGAGATTTACTTTATGGCAAGTGAAGATGTGAGCGGTTCTCCTGTAAATGGATTTTGAGGAAGCCTTGCTTGACTTTGATAAGATACTTTCAACCTT